GAGAGAGAGAGAGAGAGAGAGAGAGAGAGAGAGAGAGAGAGAGATCACCACCACTATAGAAGTCGTTATTTCCAAGAGAGGACGAGAACATGACATCCTTGGTCTCACAGTAGTCATTCAACAATGGTTCAAGAACTTCAAGTTTGCGGCCCTGAGAGGTTTCCCTGGCAGGCCAGACTTGCATCTTCCGCTATAATCAGTCAGTTGCGTGAACCGGGCATTGTGAAAACGAATTGACACAATGCTGAACCCTTCTCAATTGCTCATGCTCTCTCTCTCTCTCTCTCTCTCTCTCTCTCTCTCTCTCTCTCTCTCTCTCTCTCTGTCTCTTGTGTGTGTGTGTGTGTGTGCGCCTGACCAAAGTGACCGAAGTGAACGAGTTGCACAGCAGACCGTCTTGTAGGTAGAGATTGGGGGGGGGGCGGGGGCGGGGGAGATGGACGCAAAAGTCAAATGCCAGGTTGTGAACAGTTATGCACGTGCAGAGGGTGGATTCCCTTCATACCTTGGCTGAGATGAGTACTGACTCTACTGAGTATTGCCTGGACTCTGGAATGCAAAGAAATCCTCAAAGGCTTGGAAAGGGGAAAAAAGTAATGCCTGAACTGGTTTATGATCTGCCAACTGCCATGTTTTGTCAAGCAGAGTGTATGAACCTTTTTTTTCTGCGTCGGGTACAACAGTTGCCTTCACTGCTGTGTGGGGGGGGGTGGCAAGTGATCAGGAGATGTTCCTAAGCACAATGAAACACAAAGGCTAAAATTGCAAGATAGGATGTTACATACTGATGCCACACGGGTCCCTTTCGGACCCGACCACTAGACTAAGGGGTACTTAGGCCGGCCCAGCTAAAAGGCCGGACCTTTCTCCCAGTAGGCCACCTCGAGGCACCGGTTGGCCCTCCTGCAGCAGACCAGGTACAGGCCCAAATGACATGACCGTTGGGCCTGGCGGCGCCCTTGAGGCTGCCGCACTCCGGTCTGATCTGAATCGTCAATTTTGACGATTCAGATCACGGCGCGTCGAGGCAGGATTGAGGCCGACCGGGCAACGGCCGGTACTTAGGCCTGTCCAGCGGCCATTCCAGCATCTTTGGGAGGAGAGCAGCATTGAGGAACGCCGCTGCGCTATTTCGGTTCAGCGCAGCGCTAGACAGCAGCGCTAGGTGTAGCGCTGGCTGTAGGGAGAGGAGAGAGCGAGGAGGGAGACTTACCTGACAGCAGCCACGAGCGCCATAGCTCTCAGCAGCGCAGCCGTCTCCTGCAGCAGCCAAGGCGCCACCTTGTACCATCAGGGAGGGCCTAGAGCTGCTGGCCATCTCCGCCAATGCTCTGCCCCTCTCTTCCTCTTCTTCTTCTTCTTCTTCTTCTTCTTCTTCTTCTTCTTCTTCTTCTTCTTCTTCAGACTTCTTCTTCTTCTTCTTCGGGCTGGAGACTATTGCTACGAATTGGACAGAGATCAGTGATTGGAATTCGGTGGTAGGAGGCTGTGATACTTAGGGGATTCGCGACATTGGAGATAGTTGGGATTGATACCAGGCGGCATCACAGATCGGACATCGGTTACATTAGGATTCTGCACCTCCGACATTGGTGACTCCATGACATTCTGATTTTGTTCGGTGACATTTTGGGCTACCATATCGGTGACCTTCTGGATTCTATCTCGGTGACATCTGGCGCTGTCCATATCTCCCACCTCCATTGTCTCTCCTCCCACCATTCACCTGTGTATGATTGTACGGCACCTGAAGCATCGTCCATGTATGGTCTTCAGACCCCCTCCATCTCACGATTGCTTGTGTGTTGAGTGATGTTTGTTTGAGTTCAGTCTATGTGATGAACTCAATGTGAGTCGGTCCATTTCTCAGACTTCCGCTGTATGCATGCTCATCCGATATTGGTTGATCTTTGGTTCTGCCCATACCCGGTGAAGTATTCACTAGTATGCAACATTGGAAGACAGAAAAAGTGCTCCAGGGTGTACAGCAAGGCTTCGGGCGGCCTTTTATGCTTTCGCAAGAATCCACACTAAATGGCTCGAGGACATTATTTAATTTGTCCTCCTCATTCAGGGGGATAGCAGCAGAGAGGGACTGGACACCCCTCACTCCCCCCCCCCCCCCCCCCCAAGCAGGAGTTTGGAGTAGAGTTGTCCCCAGCAAGAATAGAGCCGCGAGGTTTTCATTTGCCGAGTATCGTGTAGGTACATAATAGGATCAAAACTTCAAAAGTCATTTCAACAAGCTAACGTAGGGCATATGCACAGTAGGACTTTCTTACTTGTTTCTGGACGGAATTGCTGGCAGATGCAGACAGGTGTGGCCGAAATTGCGTTCTGATCTAGGCTACCAGCCGGGCCGCCCGGGTCCCGGGTGGCCAGCCCCGTGCAAGGACCAGGGAAGGTCCCAGCAAAAAAAAAAAAAAAAAAAAAAGTTAAAAAAAACTATGTAATGACAGTTATGCAGAAACTTTTGCCTCAGGGTCGCATCGAAATTCTCCACCAAATTCAAAATAAAAAATAAAAAATTATTATTTATTATTATTATTATTATTTTTAATGTTTTTGGCCCGTCCGGGCAAGTGACCCCGGACCACTCTGGTATCCTAGGTTCTGATGTATTTTGGCAAGTGCTAGTGTGAGTATGCTTACGTTGAAAGTCAATTCTTCGCTGCGATCGTTTTGCGTGGGAGCCTCTATGGAAAAGGGTGATACGACCTGTGGAATTTCGTCCAGCATACGCCTTTTTGAAACTAAATGTTAATTGCCCTTAGGCAGGGGGTGAGGGGAGGTACAGATTCTTGGAGAAGGAAGTAATCAATGCCTCCACTTCCTTTCTGGGGAGTGTCAGTCCGGTGCCTTTTCCACTGTCAAGTTGTGCAGATTACAATGAAGATAGTAATATACACATTAAAAATAAATAAAAATAACAATAAACAAATTAGTAAATTACTAGTATAGACTCCAAGGCCTGCTGCTGCTGCTGCTGCTGCTGCTGCTGCTGTATATCTCTAGCATTTGTAAATCCATGAATTTGACCAAAAGTAAATTCTACTGACCATTTAGTGCTGCTGCTGCTGCTGCTGCTGCTGCTCATTCTAGACATGTGCCTTCGCATTGGCCCTTACGGTTTTCTAATGCACTTGACGACGCGGAGAAGCCAATCTACCGTGTCATACAAATCTGAACCCAGCGCCCAGTATGTCAAAAGCAGTGGGTCATCCTAGACGAGCGGAGAAGAGAGAGGTAGATGAGAGACAAGACAAAGAGGAGGAGGATCAATAATACATGTATGTATGTCACTCTTCTGTCCCACTTCCTCATTGGGCAGCTCCCCTATCGCCACCTCAGCAATGCATGATCTCGTGTGACGGCCACTGACATATCACTGTGCAGATCTCTGCAGAGTGCCCAGCCTCCTCCCAACATTCATATCAAGCTATGGAGGATGGACCTATCCTTCCTCGCCTTTGTGTAGACCAGCAGCTGATTAATGACGGCGACGCCAGATAAGTCCAGGTAAGCTTCCCCTCGATCCACACCTCAATCTCACAGGTAAGATCCTCCTCCTCCTCGCCGAACCTCGTCTCCAACAACGACAGCTATGGCTATGGCGGCAATGGCCGCTTCAGCATGTCTCCCCTAAAGTCTGGCGCTCTCCAGCAGCATCTGGTGCCGGCAGCATATCTCCCAGCCTCACGAGCAGCAACTTGGCCAGAATCTCGTGCAAGGCAGAATGTTCTTCCCCAGTGGTCTGACCGTCTTTAAATAGCATTGACTTGAGTTGGCTGCGTTTGACCGGTCCCTTCTTTGACCGTGTTTCCCAAATCTCGACGGCCTAAATGCAGCCTTGAAGCCGAAGTACCGTATCCAAGTTGGGACTGGAATCTTCTCAATACCTGCAGACAACCCTTGATGTGATCTGCGGTTGTGGCGGACTACTGGGTTGACTTTGACTTTGGGCTTGCTTTTCCCGTGCTTGCACCGACTCTTGAATTTTCAACACTCAACTGCCTCATGTTGGGGTACTGGATGCAGTTTTCGACACAGGCCCTGATACCCCGTGAACCTACCGTCTTCACGTGAATTGAACGCCTGGTCATTACATCCGTATTTGGACTGAAAGCTGCGCCAAATACAGCTATAATGACCGGGCGTTCTATTGGGGTGAAGACGGTAGGCCCTTTCTCAGACATTTCTCAGACTTGGGACGTGACCTTTGACCCCTGTTTCTTGCCTTTGACCAAAAGTGATGACCCCTGCCCGTACCTGTGCGGATTTGAACGGCGTTTATTGCAGTTTGCCATGTATGTAGACTGCTTATATGCCTGTAGTTCTCCACAACGCTACACCCTTGGAAGTCCTCAGAAGGCTGTTCAGAGGTACCTACCCTAAGTGGCTAATACATTCAGGTGAATGGCCCACACAGAATCAGTCTGAGATTTCCGCCGCTTTCTGAGTATTGCCGCTTGTTGGCTTGATTTGCTGAGATTTCCCTTTTCTGAGCGTGATTGCTGTTTGCCTGTGTGTCCAAGTCTCTATGCGATGATTGCTGCAACACGAACG